ACACTTTTTTTTGGAAATAAGGAAACATTTTTTTGCATTAAGCGAGGAAAAATGTATCTTATTTGTGTATCACTCGGTTGTAGATCCTCAAATAATTTCTTAATTGGTGCTGATACTGTCCTTCCTTCTGGAGGGTGGCTACTTTTGTTCCCCATGGTCCCTGTGTCTGTTGTAAAGTAGCCACCGCTCCAAGCTCGCTCCCGTGAGATTGTAGTCCATCCTGGGAGCGGGTGAGCTTAGAGGGGTGAATATCTGCTGCTGTCTGTGATCTTCTATGAATGAATAAATGATCAATTTATTAATTAGTTCTTCCTCCATTGTAAGGGAAAGTGGAAGGCACTAGTGTACACACTAGTTAGTGTGTACATTTGTGATCGCTGTGATTGGTCATCACAGCGAACAAAAAGCACGGGAGCTGCTCTGGTCGACTCTGTACACTATGCCAGTAATCTGAGCTGTCTGATGATAGCTCAGTCCACAGCCATTAATGGGCACACTGGCCGCCCGAGGGTTGTTAATGCAATAAAGGCACTACAGAAATAAGCATCCACCACTTTGCTATTCATAAACATGGCAGGCAGTAAACAAGTGGTTAACGTCATATCTTCCAATGCACTGTGACTGATGGAAGAACATGAAGAAAAACAGTTAAGTCATTCCAGACTTAAACAAATGTCACAAAATGACACCATGAATAATTATTTGAGCATAGTGGCACCAGGAATTCAATGCATAATATAAGAGCTGCACATTTGTAGAGAGTAATGAATGTGACAACTGTTTATTTGATCACCTCATTAGACTGGAAATCATTACATCGCTGTATGAGGTAACAAGGGAAGGAAATGCCTCTAAATTGGCCACATACAGAAAAACAAATATCCAATGTATGTTATGTGGTAGTCTAGCCAGGGTTTGAAAAAAAGCTTTTGAGTTAGTCTTGATGTTCCACAGCTAGCAATATAAAGGGACTAACTGTCATACAATACAATCCATTGCAGTTCCAACAGACAACAATTAGACAATGTATAGACTGGGAGATCTCCATTGAATGGGCTGCCAGTGCAGGGTAGTGGACCAAAATTTGTTCATTCAGAGCTACTTACGCAGACAGCACTCCCGTACCTGGCTGGGGCCCCATCTTTCAGCAGAGGTGCCTGGGTTAGGCTTGGAAGCAAGATGGATCTTACACAGTGCAGTAGAGCATAGGCTCCTTCCCAACAACTGTCACAGAAGGGAATACCGCATGTCAACCAAACTCGCTGGCCATCCCCAACCCTCTAGTGACAGTCTATCTCACTGGCTGCTCAAGCTCATCTTTTGTTGGTCATGGTGAGGGAGGAGGGTGCCACATGCTCTTATTGATCGTGGATGGTGTCCATAAGACTTGCACTGGCCCACCCATATCTTTCCTAGGGAGAAGGCCCCTAGGCGCGGGCTTTGGATATTTGTGGTGTCACCTCCTGGCCTGCCCCTGCTTGGCTGCCTACCCCCTGATTGTCTGAACTGGGCTTAAGATGTATTGAAGTCTCCTCCTGTCACCCAAGCAGATGCCTACATTGACATGAAGAGTCTGTGCGCACTATGACATTGTGGCAATGCACAATACATGTGTTGGAGTAATGCAGTGCCATTCATTTTGAATGGTATCCCAACACACCTTGCGACACATGTGCATTGCAGTGCACTAACATGTGGTGTGCTGCAAAAAAGTAGTGCATGCACTATTTTTTGCAGTGCAGCGCACGTCAATTGCAGGTTCCATCGAATTCAGTATAATACTGAATTCTCATAACTTTCTTCTCAGTAGCATAGCTATTTAACAAGATTCATGTTATTACTTTACCTAAATAGTAAGGAGTCTAAAGTTCCTTTTTTACGCACATTATTGAGAACTTGACATCTTGATCTTAAAAAAAAATTAAAAATGAGAAGCTACAGTTGCAGCTCCCATAACTTCATTCCAATGGGCTCCCTTTTGAATCACTCATGAAGTCTCTTTTCATTTACAATACCTGGGAACCATAGAATAGTTGATTCACCAATGGTAGAATTGGGTGATATTCAGAATATTTAATGAGCCACCAATGACCTCAGGAGGTATCCTTGGGAGACTGTTTGTGGATGACAAAGGCTATTGACCAATTGATCAATAAATAAGAAAAATACATAGATATTCAGTAACATCCACACTGTCCCTGATCAATCGAGTTTCAGACATGCATGACAGCCTTGGTAGTCCTGATAGTGGGAGCAGATTGCCATTTTTTGCAAAGGCAGCCATTTTTTTTAACTTTAAATCTATTTTAAGCTGCTTACATCAGCCCTCTGAAGTACCCTACTGCCTCTCATCTTCATAAACATTTCAGACTTGTATTGCCTAGAGCCAATAGGCTGGTGTAAGGAACGTAAAGAGGACCTATGCTAAAATTCTAACGGAATATTAACATCTTTTTGGGATACACAGATAAAGAACAATTGGAATCCTGGAGAAAATGCTGCTCCAAGCTTCACCCAGTGTTAAAAACAAGCGGGAAGGCCTAGACACGTGGTCTTTATTGAAAAAGAGGATCAGAGTTTATTTTGCCTAATCCCCTACTCCTGCAAAGATTATGTAACCAGCACTGGGGTGAGGCTAGAACATGGATGGGCAACTCCAGTCCTCCAGCTGTTGTGAAACTACAAGTCCCATGAGGCATTGCAAGTCTGACAGTTACAGGCATGACTCCCAGAGGAGAGGCATGTCGGGATTTGTAGTTAAAGCACAGCTGGAGGACCAGAGATGCCCACCCCTGGGCTACAACAACATTTTCTCCAGATAAGGTAAGTATTTTAACCCTTCTGTTACTCTTTATGATTCCATCCCTGCAAGAATATTAAATGTAGTTTTGCAGTTATGTGCCCATGTATTTGCTTTATGTTTGCTTTATGGTGTTCAAGGGCAATTCAGTATATTTAAAAGGAATGTAGAAAACCAGAAGTAACAAAATACACCTGCCCCCTTACCACTGCTGCACTGGAATAGTAAAAATTATATCACAAATTCATATTTATGAATAGAAACATATGGCTTTAAATATCTAAAACAATTTTTTAGGTCAATAATGCACCATACCCAGTAGAACCCCTTGTTAAGTTTTCATTTAATAATCATCATTTAACAATGCAAAGTAATATATAGATTGTAAATAGATGCAGAAAGACCAAAACATGAGACAAAAAGTAAAAAAAATGGCATACATACATATAGGGATTCATTTATCAAAGTTCCTATTCTAGTCATCACCAGCCAAATGAACCCCATACACACACACACACACACACCTATAAATGTGCGACACCACAAAACAATATTATAATAATATGTTAGGGAAGCGTTGCTAGAAGTGTGGTCATTTTTGAAAAATTTATTAAACTTTCAGAAAGTTCCCCATTCAAAAATAATACCTATTTCCAAGCATTCTGGATTTTAGTTGTTTTACCTAGTAAGCAAAATTAATGAATACATTCAGATGAAGAGAATACAACAAAATGTCAAAGGGATACTTTTTTGTAGCTAACTAAAAAATACGAACACGAAGGTCTGCTGTACCGACTATTTACAATGGCCAGTACAGCAGGCGAAAGCAGCCGAATGCATATGTAAGCTCGGCTGAGCTAAAGTCATAGCTGAAGCAGACCGTTCTCGCCGCAAATGTAAACGGAAAAAAAAAGTGCGTGGGGTTCACCCCAAAACGTCATTCCAGGCCCTTCAGGTCTGGTAGAAGGGAGCCAAAGCCAGCCAATGTACGGCTGATTTCAGCCCATGTACGGCTGAAATCAGCCGTACAGAGCTGACGTAAATAGCCGAACGGCGTTCGGCTCACTTTACTTCAGGTCGGTTATTCACTCGGTTGCCTTCGGCAGCTTAGTAAATAACCCCCTATCTGTGGGGACTGCATTGCATATGGTGCAAATGTTTTGCTTTATCTGCCTCCACACTTACAGGTTATTATACATATATGCACTACATATATATGTGTGTTATAGTTCTACATATATGTGTATATAATATATATATATATTCCATTCTTCTATTCTAGTAGTAGAAAAAAAAATCCCCCCAAAAAATCTCACACAGACACCATCATGATTCTATTTGTTAGCTTGTATTCTTTTTTTTATGTATTTGGACATAGTGATGGCAATTATCTCAGAAACCCCAGGGTGAGAGCATTCTTTATATGAGGCCATATATCTGAATTGATTGGTCCGGCTGCTTTAACGCAAATGTTGCTGTGTTGCTGCACTTTTTAGTCAAAGTGCAAAGTATGAATCTCCTTGGGACTCTCTGTAACTGATAACTGATGCTTATTGACACTTTGCTAACTACTGAATGCACCGAAAATACATCAAGAATGACCCATGCTGGAATAAGCAAAGTTTCAGTGAGTACCAACAAGTGCTTTTACCATAAAATCAGTCAGGTCTTGGGGTAATAAGACCAAGGTTGATCAAGGAATGCTCAGGAATAGAAGCCCAATGGATACTAACAGGCATGTTTAATAAGGCAGTGCAAAGAGAGAGGCAGAAAGTGCATGAAGTGGCAAAACCTACAGCAGTCATTAATAGTTCACCTTTCATCAGTTTAGACCCTTCAAGGAAATGAAAGATGATTTTGATGGTTTGTTTGATTTGATGGGTATGATGGGTTACTATACCTATCATGTAGCCCAACATGATTTTATAAATTCAATCAATAATCATTTTTACTATAAATACAATGAAAAAATGAATCAATTCGCAAACAATTTTTCATATGGATGAGAAAGGGTCCTTACTTAATCAGGGAAAAAGCAATAAGAGAACACCTTTAGTGATGTCACCTGTAACAAACTAATATTGATCATCATTGATTGATTGCTTGCTCCCAACTACTAAAATATGACTTTTCATTGGGTGTTATAGATACCTGTAATTTCCCTTTTTGAAGAAGTTTAGGCAAAATATTGGCTACCTACCGGACATGGAAGAGATGCCCTTCTTTCTGAAAGAGCACACGACTGGCGCTTCTTGTGGCTCCTGACATCTTTGTCGTTGTCCGCAATCCCTTTATGTCCCCAAAAGCTACTCATCCACTTCGCAAAGAGGATGTCATCATCATCTTCCTCGTATTCCATGTAAAAGGGCCCAAGTCAGGTGAAGTCCCAACCAACAAGGGAATGACCAGTACAACGTAGAAGTTGTTGAATGTCGCTGCTCACTAGAGTGCAGATCTGCTAGCAAGTGAACGGGTTAGATCATTTCAAACCAGCCCCCTCTTAAGCTGACTTTAAGGAGGGGGAAAAAAAAAAAACCAACAAAGCAGCAGTTCTAGCCACGGTCTTTATATAAGCCAATCCCCTATAATCTATTTATCAGAGGAGCAGGGATAGCTCTTTTAATCTTTCCATTACATTGATTCCAAAGTCACACAGCCTAAAGGGTGCTAACTGCTACAGCATTGCCCAGCATCCCTGCTGGCCACTGTATCTAATTGTCGATAGCTGTCAGGTCTAGCAGGCGAGAACATGCCTGCAAGCTACACTATGTGCTAGGATTTCAATGAGGCAGCAGCTATGAAAATTGGAATGGACGTATTGACAATTTCCAGAGACTGGCAAAGTTGTTGTGGAGGTTTAACAGGCACAGATGAATTCCCAACCCCTGTGACAGCTATTACTGGAGCACCAAATAAAAACTGTATAGGAACCACGCAGTAGAAAAAGACACCAAAGTCTCTTCCTTTATGACCCTCTCGATTCAAATAACTTCAAGAACTTCAGGTACATGTAAAGATTTCCAATCTATTTCTATCCACACACATCATTTCTGAGATAAAAACAAACTTAATTTTACCTGTGCTATGTGTAATGATGGAATCCTTCCCCGCTCAAAAGAACATGTGTACTTTTTAAAATCTAGTATAAAAAGCTATATTTAGTATAAAAAGCTATACGCTATCATTCTTATACTCGTCATCGCCATCTAGGGCACTAGTACCATATGAACGGCATCCACCTGGCTATACACCGGGCAGTAAATTTATAAATGAAGACCTTAAACACACAAATCAATTAAATATGCAAATATAACCTTTTACGTACTTCTGTACTTTGCATGCTGTACTTGGATCTTCTACTGTATACTCTATTTTCTGATTTTCTTTTCTGCAGGCACAGGCCTGTGTACCTACAAAAGTATAATATAAAAGGTATCCTCAGCATCATTTTAGATGTGCGCTGTCTCCAGATCAGTCTAAAATTAGCTAGCAGGGATGAGCAAGGTACATGCATCTCTAAAGGGATGCCGTGAACCAAATTAGCTAGCTTTGTAAATAATGAACTCCAAGGCCCCTCTTTTTGAGTAAAGGTACCCACAGTCATTAGATGATCATCTCTGAATTGGGTTGTTTTCTATGCATGTCTTAATACCAAGACCAGTGACATAGTAGAACTGCACATTTAGACTCCATTCAAAAATGAAGCCGTCAGGTTACCAAGCACCCCTTTCTCACAATTTCAATCCATAGTGATATCTTTGATTTGTAGCACAACTGAACCCATGCTAAACAATATGGCGGCATCAGGCTTCCAGATATCGAGCTGTACTGCAAGGAAATGCACCTCCCTTGTGTGGTTGACTGGTGTTGTCACCATAACCCCACTATATATAACAAAATGCTTTACCTGCTACATTTACATCAGACCAAATTGATAAAATTATAACTCTCACAAAAATCCTATATCTAACAAATTCCAAAAACAGGCATATAAAATATTATCACACTTGTATAGAGTGCCCACTTTATTACTTTATTGTAATAATCAAGTCCCAGGCCTGATTTGTGGACTTGGAACTATGCTACATGTTTTGGGAGTGTGAACTTGTCTGACCCTTCTGGATGAAAATCCAACTGGTGATTCTCCAAACCACATACAATGACTTGGAATAACCCAGGGGAGTGTGTTTTAAGTTGCCCATACACTGTGTGAATTTCGGCCGGTTTTTGAGGAAGCAGACGAAATTCAAAAAGTGTGTGGTGCTGTCGGTGCCTTTTCAGCCAGCATCCCTCGATCACCTGATGGAAGGAGCCCGCCGGAAAGTTTACGAACGGTCAGAGCCAACAGCCAATGAGCTGCCTGCTCTGGTCGGGTATTCTGACAGGTGCTGGCCGCCGCTCTATTGAAACAGCGGGATACCTCGATCGACACGCTGTTAGTGTTAATGGAGGGATCGGTTTTGTTTTTTTTGTTGAGCCCATGAGTGGAACAAAAAAAATACAACAGTGTATGGCCAGCCTTACACTTGGCTGACCTGCCCCACTCCAAACACAAAAACTCCCTTACCAAACACCTTTTTAATGCTGCCAGAACCAGTATACCAGCTCTTTGGAGGAAAGACACCCCTTCTACTGTGTCCTTCTGGTTTATCAAGGTTAGGAACTCATGGACGCAGAAGACCTAACTGCTTCTTCAAAAATACTGAGGATAATTTAGATCTATTTGGTTTTCCTGGTTTTAATTCACTACCACTTTCTCATTTCAATCACGCCAAACCCAGTCTACAGGGGAATACGTTGCCCCATGTTGAACCTTGACTGAGTGGATACAGAGGTCAGGATGAGATAAGGAGGGGTGACTGGGGTTCACATACTGTCCCACCCCTCTGTTGCCCTCCCCTCATCTCATCCCATTTTCCTACTTTTGTGATATACTTTACATGACAAATACATTGTACCCCTTTAAGGGGTCTAAGTTTCCTAGTATCACCTTCTTAGACACATGTTACACTTCTAAGATACTTGCCTTGCCTTTCACAGCAATGCTACGGTATGACTAAGGTGGAGGAATTATTCTAAATACAGTGCTAAAAACACAACCTTAAATTATTATAATAACCCCTGAAAAAAATTATTTACCACCCAAGTGCATGTGAACAATAAATGTTTGTAATAATGTAAACACAGTGAACAAAAAGTATCAGTGAACTAATAATCAAAATCTACATTCAAAGATGAGTCACAGTGAAACAATGAATCCAGGTCAAGGACCTGGACCAAGATTGAAAACAAATTCTTCATTAATATAAGATAGTTCCATGCAAAAGGGTCTCTATGTCGTGAATTGCTCAGCTTCAATATATGATTTGAGCATTTCACCAAAATAAAATCCTCCTAACCTTTATGGGCAGACACTCACCAACTGATATGTGAACCCTAAGGTAAGAAGCTCTTATATGCTGAATCAGAACCCCAAGGGGGGACAAAACACTTCAGGCCTCCTCACCTGCATCAATCTTCCTTGTTACATATATTACTTCACACACATCCAACGGGGAACGTGTGAAGGAAAGATCTCATAGTGTAAAATACCATTTATTTAATGAGCAAATAAAAATAATCTGTATACAAACAAAAATGAGATTGATATGCACCCATATTAGGTAACACACTAAACCGCTCTATGTCGGAAACGCTTCCCCATTCAGCACGTCTCTGCTACTCATCTATGTGTGATAGTGCTCAGACCCACCCAACGCGTTTTGTCATTAACGACATTATCAGGAACAAGCGGAGGAATTACCCACCATTACCTTTGGCTTTTATTCCTTGTTCTTTGTTGTCATGTATTGTGACATTTATTACAAATAAGGTTAAATAACCACCTTTATGTTGATCTACCAGGCAATTGCATCTATGTAACCATCAATACTACCTGTCATATGCTGGGAAACACACTGTGATATACTGTACTGTATGCCTGTATGCTTTTGTTTTCCAGGCCCTTTAGGTCTGGTGGGGATTTTAAGGGGGAACCCCACCTCCCATAAATTGAGGACAATTTATGGGAGGTGGCTGTCATTGCATGAAAACAAATAGGCGGAGCCATCAGTGATGTCACCACCATCTCCGCCCATCCGCCCATTTGTTTTCATTCAGGACCTGCGAAGAGCGATTTGACAGGTGCTGGCCAAATGTCAACAGATAGGCAGAGCCAGTGGTGATGTCACCTCTGGCTCCGCCTGTTTGTTTGCATTCGGCTTGCATCTGTCAAACTGGTCATTTAACATTGCGAGTTTGTCGGGTGCGGTCGGGTCGGCGTCATCATGGGCATCGCTGGACGACGTGATTGACCCTTGGATTATGTCGTTGGATCCTTTTTTTTTTTTTTTTTTTTAATTAAAGGAATGCTCAAACTGTTGTTGTGTTTTGTTTTCTTTTAATTAAAGGATTTTTTCTAAAAGTGTTGTCTCTTTTACATTTTAATTTTAATACAAGTACCCCTTACTCATTCACAAGGAGGTACCCCAATAAAAATAACCCCCCTGCCCGCAGACCCCCACAACCAATGGCCAGGGTTGTGCGGAAGAGACCCATGTCTCCACCGGCATTGGGATGAGGTGCTTTTCCAGAGGGGCCCCTGCAAAAGCACCCTCCCAATGCCGAGGGCATGTGGCCTGGGATGGCGCAGGGAGGGGGACCCCACAGTAAGGGGTTCTTCCTTTTTGGAGGTGGGGTTCCCCTTTAAAATTTCTATCAGCGCTAAAATGCCTGGTATGACCTTTGGGGGAACCCCATGCACTTTTGTTTTTTAATTTTTTACTGGGGGGTCTGGTATGGTTTTGGGGGCCCCTAGGCTGTTTTTTGTTTTTCTTTTTGCCTTTGTTTGCATTTTTCTATTCTGCTCGCTACATAGCGAGCAGAATAACCGAGCTCGGCAGCATTCTGCTTTTCACTCACAGCTGTTTGGCCCCTATGAGAATAGGGGCGAACAGCAGTGAGTGAACTGCCATACGCTTGCCTCAGCCAATCCAGATGTTGAATTGGCTAAGGCAAATGTGTTCTTCACTTTAGTTCAGCCAAATGCGTGAAGGCTGTACGGCTGAACCGAAGGGAGCCGAAGGCAGCTAATGTACGGCTAAAATCGGCCGTACTTGGCTGAAGTGAATAGCCTTCACTTCGGGTCGGTTAGTGAATAGTAGTGGAGTAATAAAGCACCAGTGTTCACTAAGGATCCAATTTATTTCAGTTGACTGAAGAACGTTCTTTACATCTTGAATTAACACAACAGCCCCGATCTCTTTTTTGAGAAGGCAACAACTTTATTTACAATACTGAAATCAGTTATTCCTGTTACATTCAGATTCACGTAGAGTATTTATTTTAAGTACATAAATCAATGATTTCTTATAAGTTCCATGTTCACGTAG